GGGAGCGGTGTCTGTCCCGGGCCGCTGGGCGGGGAGGGCGCGTCCACCTGGCTCTCCTGGGAGAGTTGGAGGGGAAGGGGGCGAGGAGAAGGTCTGGGGGCTGCCCCTGAGGAGGAGCTGCACTGGGGGCGTCCAAACGAGAAAGCAAGAGGGACGCGGTGCTGAGGGCCCGCGGCTCCCGTCCTGGCGGCTGTGGTCCCCGTGGGGCTCACACACGCGTCAGGACAGAACGTCACTGGCGATAAGTGGACAAGCACAGCAGCCGGGGGAGCCAAACCCCAGCTCCTTTAGAAGTGAGAGAAGGCAGGGCTCAGTGGCTGAGCATCGCCCAGGAGGTCACGGTTCAATGCCTGGTGAGGGCACGTGCCGGGTGCAGGCTCCATCCCCAGCTCCGTCAGGGCACCTGCAGGAGGCAGCCCATCCATGTGTCTCTCTCACACCGATGCTTTTCTCTCTCTGTCCCCCTCCCTTTTCACTCAACGGAAAAACATCCCCGGGTGAGGATTAACGAAACAAAACTAAAAAGAAAGCGAACAGAGACGAGAGGGAGAACAGGTAGCCAGGCACCAGCGCGAGCCTCACGTCGCTGTGAGGGCTGAGCAGCAGGAGGGGGGTGGGTGCTGTGGGAACAGCTGCGGGGAGAGGCGGGAGGCGGGGCTGGCTCTCGCGTGGGTGTGAGCACACAGGAGCGCGTGTCACACAGGTTTGCGATGGGCACAACCGCGCCCACGAGAGCGATGGGGGCGCTCCGCCAGCGCTGTGCACCGACGGCCTTTTCCCGTCCGCGCCGCATTCACGCCTCTCTGAGTGGGTGACTGGCTCTCACCATCGCTGGCGAAGGCAGTGCTGCTGGGGTTTGGGAACAGCCTGGTCTGCACTCAGAGCTCCGCGCCAGGGAGGGCACGCGCTGGCGCCAACACACGCACACATGCCCACACGTGCGTGCACATGCACGCGCGCACTCATGCATACACACACACACACACACACACACACACACGCGTGCTCACACACAGACACACACATGCGCGTGCACACCAGCACACAGGCCTCTGACAGCAGAGCGCCCAGAGCAGCCTGCAGGCAATGTTTGTGCAACTTCCTTTTAAACATTCTCAGGCAAACAGCTAACTTCTGGCAAATGCTGGGACTGCGGATCAGATGGGCTGGCAGCTCCGCGTCCGCGTCCCCACAGCCAACTCTCCTCGGGGACTTGGCAAACCGGTGCTCTCACGCCAGGCCCTGAAAGAAGGGGAGGAGGCCCGCGCCCGGCACCGACCCCCCACCCGACAACACAGGACGCAGCCGGGCCTGGCGCAGGCGGCACTTACGACTGGCAGGCAAAGGACATGCCGAAGATGGGGATGCAGCGGAAGACGCCCTCCCAGCGCACGTAGCTGACCCGCCGCAGCCACTGCCCACTGAAGAGGCCGTGCTTGAGCGAGGACAGCAGGATCTGCGGGAGCAGGAGAGAGAGGCGAAAACCCCAGGCCCGGGGGGAGCAGTGGGTGCCGTCACGAGCGGGCGCTCACGCTAAGGCCCACGGAGAACGTGCACCGGGGCTCGACCCTCTAAGGACACTGGCCACAGAGACCTCCGGGTCCTGCTCCCCGGAAGCCACGCTGACCCTGACTCTGACCTTGCCGGTGGACGGGCAAGAACCGGACGCCCTGCGTCCCCACTGCACGCGGGTTTTGCCATCCAGTCACCAGAAATGCCCACTTGGAACCCATCCCTGTGGCCGGCACTGGGCCCCCGGCCACACCCACCTGAAACCGCCGATATGAGGCATAGCCTCACCCTCCCCTCCCAGGACCCACTGGGCCACGGGGTTAACCCTCTCCCCCCCCAGCTCCCTTCCCAACATGCGGGGGCAGCGGGCGCCCGCACTCACCACGAACATGAAGGCGGCGTAGAAGAGGAGCGCCATGGCGCTGAAGGACTGGATGGAGGCCATCATGTTGCGCTGCAGGCTCAGCGGCAGCACGATGCACAGCGACACCGCGGAGTGGGAGCCAGCAGCCACATGGGAAGAGTGTCCCCAGACCATCAGAGAGGAACCTGGACGAGCTGCAGGGACAGGGACGGTGTGACCTTCCGACGTCCCTGCGCTCAGACAAGAGCTGCCGGGACCTTCGTGGCCACGGGAGGGAAGGGCCCTGAGCCTCATTATCCTCCTGACGAGGAGGGGGCTGGGCACTCACCTACGTCGTCCCCTTTTCCACAAATCCCAGCAGGAGGGAGAGCTGCTCGGACACAGAGCTGCCCTCATAGACACGGGGCCACGAGCACAGGCCTGGCTCCTTCCTGGGGCCTCAGCGCAGGTTCCCGGGGCCTCGGAGGGCGT